ATTATTATTATTATTATTATTATTATTATTATTATTATTATTATTTATACAAGCATTTTGTGCCCAATTTGCCGTCAAATTATTCGATTAAAGTTGTTTAGGCCTCCACGCTAAATCAAATTCTTAAATTAAAATATCGGGTGTACCACCCTAATGTTAATTTAACAGATGCACATACATACACATTCGTATGTGAAACAAGACAAAAAGAAAAATTGCACTTTTCCTGTCAGTGCACTTTCGTTAAATTTCCCCTGAAAATGGAACTCTTAAAACCGTTTAGAGGGTTCGACTTCAGTTTCTAATTCTTTAAACTTTCTATTGGATTTTAATCACCAGCGATTACGGACGTTCCGCCACCACACCACTTCATAACCAAGGTAATATTGTAAGCCCCCTTGAATTTTAATATTCATATTAAATAAACCGCCAAACTTAATTGTATTTCAAACTAAAATCGGGTGCTTTTGTTTTCTTATTTTTCCAATAAAAAACACTGGTGCACTTATCGAGGTTAAACCCACCAAGTCGCCAGGGTTTTTCATGGGCCATCTTCGCCAGGAACTATAATTAACCAGAGCAAAGTAAATACAGTCCACTGCAGCTAAACAAAGGCGCCATTCTTTGAATATACAAGCGGTCAAGGGTCACTTGCGGTCACAAATCTCCAGATTATTACATCTGCGCATACAACCGTCCGCCAGCATCAACTGGTGAATTGCCACAAACACTAGCGTGAAGTTACCATAAGTCGGGAACGTACCACATCAGTACACAACACCCAAATTAATCACCAGTACCACATTAAAAAACATTCAGGATTTTCAAAGGTATGTGGTTGACATTTCAAATTTCTTGCACTTTCTCGTATACGTAATACGGCAAATATTTAAAAACACCAAAAACCTGCGCAGATCCAAAATTATCGCGAGTGATCTTGTGGAAATCATCAGTGCATTGATATCACTTTTTGTGTTCTTTCGCACTTAATTAGTAAATAACGTTGTGAACAAATATGTGCAGCAATACACAAGTGTGGGTTACAGTAAATTTTTCTGTACTTAACACCACCTCAGTTGTTAGTGTAACCTTAATATATAGCGAGCACACTTTTTACAAGTTTTTTTTTAATTATATTTAATTTCGTGTTTTCAAAATCACTTATTCAAATTTGCAAAGCATCGATTTTATTATTTTTCACATCGAGTTAGCTTTCAATATTTTCAAACAATCGTGTTGCAAGCATTTGTTAATTGGTCAAATCATCGGCACTAACAACAATTCACTGAGTTGAGGATACATAACCTCACTTGTGACTGCACTTGTTACACACATTTGGTTTCACATTGGGACACTTTTTAACTTCTGCAATTCTGCATCCACAAGATCACTTTGAACGATTAATCAACAAAAATAATATATGCGTAGCACAGTTGAATTATTTCACATTTATACACAAATATTTCGCTGAGAGTTGGGTGGCGAGTATCAGTTCCTGTAATCTTAGAAGATTTTCATTAGTGTGCGCGAGTATACATAAATACATATATTTACATACATATATTACGCTTGATATTTAATAAATAATTTGATATCCGTGCGAAATTGCACCTAAATTGCGGTGTTAACTTATTTGATTGTGGTGGTTTATTCGCTTAAAACTTTGGGAAAGTTATAATTTTCGAAGTGCTCTCGTAACTTATTTTCATTAGGATCTTAAAAATGGAAACATTTATCCGATTAGCTGATGTTGTGCCTGAGTTTGAGGCCGACTACAATAGCATGACTGAAACGGAGCACACAAAATACACTCTTGCCATCCAGCAAGAGGAACTGAAAGCCATGTGGAGGAAAGCAAAGATAGCGTACGAAGAGTATTTGAGTTCAGGTGCGGTAGAAGCAAAATCAGCCTCAGTGAAGGCTAAGTATAAAAGTACCTATTCTACTTATCTGCGCTGCATGTCGAACATGGCAGAACTCCATGCGAAGCTCGTCAAAAGTGACAAAGATACCGAGGATATGTCGGCCAGAGAACACAACATCCATCTCCCACCGTGTGATACGGATGTGTTCAAAGGCGATTATCTCTCGTGGCCTACATTCCGTGACATGTTTACGGCCATTTATATCAATAATAAGCGCCTCACTCCTGTAGAAAAGTTGTTTCATTTGAACCAGAAAACTCAGGGGGAGGCCAAAGAGATAGTTAGCAAATGTGATGTTACAAACGAGGGCTTCAATACTGCATGGAAAAACCTTTGTGATAGGTTCGAGAATAAACGCATTCTAGTGAATTCGCAGATAAAGATTCTTTTTAACCTAGAGTCAGTAGAAAGTGAGTGCGGTACTTCATTAAAAAAGTTACAGCGAAATATTAATAATTGTTTATCGGCTTTGCGATGTCATCAAATTGACGTATCCAATTGGGACGCCATCGTTACATATCTCTGCTCCACGAAATTGCCAGAGAGTACGTTGGCTCTTTGGGAACAAACAATTGAAAATAAAACCGAAATTGCCAAGTGGGAGGATATGGATAAATTCCTCTCTAATAGGTTTCAAACACTTGAAACAATATCAGATATTAAAGCTGTAAAACACCCTCGATTTTCAAAGCCCCAAAATAGCAAAAACAATGAAACTCAGAAAAGGCACGGGGCCTACCAAGCAAGCGTAGCCAAGATTCTGTGCAAATTTTGTAAAGGCAATAATCACAAACTGTCAAAATGCCAAAAATTTCTTAAAATAACAACGGCAGACAGAATCGCCTTCATTAAAAATAATCATGGTTGCTTGAATTGCTTATCTTCTGGACATACTGTGACTAGGTGTACATGCTCATTTAATTGCAGCATCTGTCACCAAAGACACCACACGCTCCTTCACATTCAAGCATTTCAGCCAAAAGCAACTATGAACCAAAGGCATCAAACAAACGTATCCGATGGGTTAGAGAACATCGCGTCAACTTCTGCTCAAGCTCAGGCAAGACACGATGCTTCCAAAGCAAACAAAGGACCAACCCAAAATGTCCAATCCTGCTTTGCTAATACCAACATAGGAATTCTATTAGGGACCGCCCGAGTCAATATATATTTTAATAATACAAATTTTTCGGCCCGCGCTCTAATAGATTCCGGATCGGAGTGCTCTTTCATTACTGAAAGACTTAAGCGTAGGATTAATCTGCCCTCGAGGAGGATACAAGCTCAAGTATCTGGAATAAATAACACAGTCTCAGCTCAAGTAAAAGAGGCGTGTTTTATACAACTGCGGTCACCAATTGACCCACTGATCAATATAGATACCACCGTGTTAGTATTACCACAATTAACTGGAAATCTACCGACTTGCCAAATCGATGCTAGGACTAAGCAAGCGTTTCCAGAGTTAGTTTTAGCAGACAAGAGATTTTTTGTAAGTGAGCAAGTTGATCTTGTCCTCGGTGGAGATATTTACGCACAAATAATGCTAGGCGGTATAAGGAAAGACGTACTGGGAACTCTTCTTGCTCAGGAAACCGTCTTCGGCTGGATTCTCACCGGTCAAACTGACACAAGTACCCCAGCGAATAAGTGCGTATCATTTTTTAGCGAAATAAATTTAGACAAACGCTTAGCGTCCTTTTGGGAATTGGAAGATATCCCAAGAAATAAGACCTACAACAAAGATGAAACCTATTGCGAGGAACTTTATAAAAGCACTACTAAACGGAATAAAGCAGGCAAATATATTGTGTCACTGCCGTTCAAACAGGATTTTCCAACTAACGTACGATTAGGTCCGTCACTTAAGATCGCTTGCTCACAATTTTTTCGAAGTGAAACGCGTTTAGCAAAGGATCCACCTTTACAATCAGAATACAATAGGGTCTTGTCTGAATACGAGACATTGGGCCACATGACTCGGATTCCTGAACATATTCCTGGAGACGAATGTGAGAACTACTTCCTACCTCATCATGCTGTCAGGAAAGAGGAAAGCACTACCACCAAAGTGCGAGTAGTCTTTAACGCATCGTGTCCGACTGCAAACGGAGTCAGTCTCAACGACATCCTCCACCCAGGTCCAGTCCTGCAAAGTGACTTGACAATTTTAATATTACGGTGGAGACTATTTCAATATGTGTTTAACAGCGACATCGAAAAGATGTATCGCCAAATTTTATTAAACCCTGATCAAACCAAATATCAACGTATTGTTTTCCGAAAAAGCTCAAGCGAACCAATTAATTTATATGAACTGAACACGGTTACCTTCGGTGTTAATTGCGCACCTTACTTAGCAATTAGAACCCTACTTCAATTAGCTGACGATGTAGAGAGTTTATATCCTGTAGCTTCAGATATATTGAAAAAATGTATGTATGTCGACGATGTTTTAGCAGGAGGACATACCATCGAATCTACCATCAAAGCTAAAGACGAGGTATCAATGGTTTTACAATCTGCTGGATTCCCGCTACGAAAATGGACATCCAACTGCGAAAAAATACTGGAAGGATTACCCAAATCACACCTTTTAAACGAAGATTTTTTGGATTTTGAGGACACCAGTACCGTCAAGGCGTTGGGCATCAGATGGAATGCCCATTCTGATAAGTTTTATTTTACTGCCAAGCCATTGGAGACTGAGGTTCGCTTTACAAAAAGAGCAATACTTTCGGCTATTGCAAAATTATTTGACCCATTAGGATGGCTCGCGCCATTTGTAGTTACAGCAAAAATTATAATGCAAGACATTTGGTTGGAAGGAACAGGTTGGGACGAAATTGTCTCAACTGCATCGTCCGATCGTTGGCAAAACTTTGTAGAGAGCTACTGCCACATCGACAAAATTCGTATTCCTCGTTGGGTATACTTTTCTCCTACAGATAAAATAGAACTTCATGGCTTCTGCGATGCCTCAGAAAAGGCATACGCAGCCACTATTTTTCTTCGGGTTCAAAAAGCGGAAAAGGTATTTGTCAATCTTCTACTGGCTAAGTCCAGAGTGGCACCGGTCAAAACTATTTCGTTACCACGATTGGAGCTGTGCGGTGCTGTTCTGCTTGCAGAACTTGTTGAATCGATCGTTAGCAATCTCACTTTAGGCCAGTTTACCACACATCTGTGGACAGATTCGACTATTGTCCTAGCCTGGATTCGAAAACCTCCCTGCTCATGGTCAACATTTGTTGCCCATCGCGTAACAAAAATCATTGAGAAAGTTGGAAGCCAAAATTGGCTCCATGTGGATTCAGCATCAAATCCATCAGATTTAGCTAGCAGGGGTATTATTGCGCAAGAATTGGTAGCCTCTTCCTTGTGGTGGGAGGGTCCTTCTTGGTTGCAAGAAGAAAGAACACAATGGCCCACACAGGAAAAGGACTATAAGACACAGTTAGAACAAAAAAGGGTACAGGTTCATGCGACCACGGCAGTCGATATTAGTAATGATATTCTTGAAAGATTTTCCGATCTACCGAGAGCTTTGAGAGTTCTATCATACGTACTGAGATTCTCCCAAAGAACTCGCCGTAACACTAGAGCTTCATTTCAAGCGGAATCTTGTTCGATTTCAGCTGATGAAATCAAAGCAACGACTCAACGCTTAATAATTATCTGCCAGAAGCAGCATTATGGTCAGGAGTACTCATCACTGAGATCGGCAAAATTAATAAGTCCAAAAAGTGAAATCTTGTCCCTGAACCCATACATTGACAAGGAAAATATAATTAGGACAGGTGGTCGCCTTGGAAAATCTTTAGATCTCGCTTATAACGAGCGCCACCCAATTATCCTTCCATATAATAGCAACTTGTCTCGTCTTATAGTCCAGTTCGTTCACAAAGTATCACTGCATGGTGAGAATCAGCTTATGTTGCGCTTGATTAGAACGCAATATTGGATACCTCGAGTCCAGAATATGATCAAATCGACAATTCACAACTGTAAGATCTGTACGATCTACCGAAAACGGTCGCAAACGCAGCTTATGGGCATTCTTCCTAAAGAACGCACCACATTTTCACGCGCGTTTACTAACACAGGTGTCGACTTCACCGGACCTTTCGACATAAAGAACTACAACGGACGAGGTTGCAGGGTGTCTAAGGGGTACGTATGTCTGTTTGTGTGCTTTGCAACCAAGGCGATCCATTTGGAAGCCACCTCTGATTTAAGCACACAATCATTCTTGGCAGCATTTGCAAGATTCGTGGGGAGGCGAGGTTGCCCAAAAAATGTTTACTCCGACAACGGTACCAACTTTGTCGGAGCTTCGCGATCGCTAAGATCAGAATTCAAAGCCTTTATGGCCGATGCCCGCAATAACACCATAACAAAATACACCCATCAAATGCTTACATGGCATTTCATTCCCGCCGCAGCTCCCCACATGGGTGGATTGTGGGAGGCGGGAGTCAAAAGTTTTAAATGCCACTTCACAAAAATCGCTTCAAACTATAAATATACATTCGAAGAATTTACGACCCTTCTATGCAGAGTTGAGTCATGCCTCAACTCGCGACCCCTCAGTCCCTCTTCAAACCAACAATCAGACTTAGAGACACTTACTCCAGGTCACTTCTTAGTCGGCGGGCACCTTCTTGCTCCTCCTGAAATCGACGCTGATGAACACCGTGCGTCGATTGTGAATCGTTGGCAAAGACTGAAGGCTCTACACCATACGTTCTGCAAGNCTGCAAGAGGTGGAAAACAGAATACCTGTCGGAACTCCAAAAGCGCAATAAGTGGAAATACCCACAAGCCAACTTGAAAAATGGAGACCTCGTCGTTATTAAGGAAAACAACCTACCACCTAACGAGTGGAGATTAGGTAGAATCGTTAACCTACACCCAGGTTCAGATAAGGTTGAAATTCGATTTCTTCCGAATGTCGAACATTACCCAACCATTCAATTATTCGATTCGATAAATGGTGATACAAATTCGATTTAATTTGTATTTTTTCAAATTTTCAACAACCTTTTACTGAAAAATTTAAAAGTTTGTCTGTAATGATAGTTCAAATCGAAAAAGAGACCAGCAATTGAACTTACACTGAAGTGATTAATTATCCGCAGCCTATCTTCACAACCAAAAGTAAAAACAAATAACAAGTATTTCTTTCTCAAAATATATCAGCGAAAAATCCAAAAATTTATATGTATTTTCGTTGTATAAATTAAAAATTAACAAAATGTATATTGAAACTAATCTTTTGAGAAGTATAATGTACTTTATTTTTTCGTGCTCTACAAGAGCAAGAGAGATTTGTACGAACTTCACGTTACATACTTAAGTAAACAAGACGAGCAGTTCTATTCGAGCCACATTTTTGGCAAATGCGTCAGAAAGACGAAATTCGTTTTTTGTTTATAAAAAAAAAAAAAAAATTCGATTTTTATCCGAATTTCAGCACCACAAAGTTCGATTTCGAAAATTCGCCAGTTTGGAGCTAAAATTCGACTCAAATTCGAATCTCGAAGCTTCGAAGACATTAGAACTAATTTATGGCCCCAATAGAAATATATGATACCAATAGAAATATACATTCGACCATGCCTACTCAACAAAATATGTAGACATATGCAGTGTTGCCATCTTTTCATTTTCAAAAAGCACCAAAAACTTGAAAAAAAGCATTTTACCACACTAAAAGCACCAAATTTTTTTGAATCAAGGGATACTTTTTTCATAACATAATGCCGAAGTACTGCACATTAAAACTGGTATATCTCGAGAAAGAAAAATCGAATCGCATCAAACGAAAATGATGCCCTGATTAGAAATGAGCAAATAATTTGATGTTTTCATTATATAACCTCAAATATCTCTAAAAACCGTGTCTTTGGCACTTTGAGGTTAGGATATCTCATTATTCTAGTGCTAGAGCAAATGTGAGGCCAGATTTGGATTCAGCACCAAGAAACGATGTGTTTTACTCAGGTGGCAAAAAGAAAAAAATTTACAAATAATTAGAAAAAAGAAAAACAAATACTTAACATACTTGCGTACTAGCATTTTCAACGTGAATAGAATTTAACAAGGTGGGTTTGCAACTTTTTTATCAATCATGGTTGTATTTTAGTCCATTTCAATTTGTAGATTCTTGTAAATTCAGTGCTGCCACAACCTTAAATATTTTAAATTATTGCAGGTTTTAACTATCTCGAAGTAATTTTAGTTCAGAAAAAAAGCACTAAAAAGGGCACTAGGCACTAAATAATTTTTTTTTGGCATTTAAATTTTCAAAAAGCACTAAATCTGGTGCTTAAGGCACCAAGTTGGCAACTATGGACATATGTATGAATGCAAAAACTTAGATCCAGGCAAAAGATAGTTAACACTCACCAAAGTTTCGGCAACACTTATAAAATGTGGTCATTGGGTCATCTGCAGACCGGGTCTGCATTTGCATAAAATAAGATTTTTTGTGAGAGCACGCAGGACATTCAGCTTGGGTGGAATCTACATTTTCCAATGCGGCTGCACCACCCATGATATGATCAACTTCCTTCAATCGTGGAAATGTTCGAGTTAAAATTTTTCGTTTAATATTACATATATATGGGCAGGTATTGCCTGAAAATCGGTACCCTGCTGTATCCTGTTCAACCATTAATATAATACCAAAAGTCGGGCAGAACAATAGCATAATTCCCAAAGATTTCTTGAAGTTTTTATTATTTTAGGTGTATTCAGTACCCAAATATAAAAGATGTAGCACGTTTTAGATGAATTATAACCAAGTAGGGTCAAAGATGGCAAAGACGGAAGGCGAAAAGCGCTGTAAAGAAGAAAAGATATTAGCTAGATAATTTGGGTTGAATAAAAGCTTCATATTAGATTAATGCATATTTCGCGATACTTGGTTTGCTTTTTCCGAGAGGAATTGGTGTTGCGAGTAGCGCCTGCATATGAAAATTCCGCACTTTCCATTCTGCATACAAGAATTCCCCATTCATCTTTCCGGCGAACTCGGTTATGAGTGTCAAATATGCTGTACTTGAGTGAATGAATGTTCTGGGTGGTATATTTCCAACGAGAGCTGAAAGGAAGGACAAAAACTATCAAATTAAAATACTACAAGCAAAAATACGCAACTTACCGCCTCGTAAACACTCGTGCCATTCAGGAAATTCTTATATGTGCTGCAATTGACATCGATGAAAGCATGATAAAAACATTACAAGGTAAAATCATTGAGAGGCAGTCTGACGTTTGCCAACAATATAATTTTAAAATTCGAGCTCAGGCTCACACACAAATTCTCATTTTTAATCTCAAACAACAACAATTGTGAACAATTTCATTTTTTTATTTTCAATTTTATATGATTTTAAAATGTTTGCAAACGTCAGAAAAAAATCATGGCCGACGAATTGAGAGAATGGTTTTACCTTCTAATGTTTTTATCATGGATGAAAGTGTCATTTTAAAAATAGTGATGTGCAAAGTTGCCGCAATACTCGGTACCCAAAGTTTCGGTGTTGCTAACCGATACCGATTCAATGCATTATACCTTGGTAATATAAGCACACTTAAATCACTTGTTGCATAATTTTACCAGTCCATTTTTTCAAAGGAATAATAATTGTTCACATAACTTTACTGAAACTTCGATAACTTAACTAATAACTTTATCTAATTTTCGTTCTTCCCTCCGTAAAGGCGCGGTGTGGAATCAGTATTTACAATAAAAAAAATAAAAATCAGTATTTACAATAAAAAAAATCAGTATTTACAATAAAAAAAAATCAGTATTTACAATAAAAAAAAATATATATATATATATATATATATAAAAGTTCGCTAATGGGCTTTACCTCTCAAAAATACTTCCATATGTTTGGCTGTCGTGCGTATATTATAAAACTATTATTATTATTATTTTTTTTTGTCCGACACCGAGTATCGAAAGTACCGGATACCTTTAAATCGGTACGGAATATGAATACTCATATGTGTTGACTATCACATCTCTAACATAAGAACGTAAATGTCAATTTACGCTCTTGGTTGACAACGCAGCCAGGGTTGGGACTCTCCTACGATCGCAAAACTAAAAATCTACTACGCAACTTATTCCCTGCTACTTGGATTTGCTCGAAACAAAGCAAGGCTTAGCACATATGAATTTTCTTTTTATAAAATCGTGAGTGAATCAATTTTGACGTGCCCTATATTTTAGTAATATCAAAATAAATCATTAAAATTGTGATATTACCAAGCACATTCATAAGCACTTGCGGTTTAACCGATTCAGCGAAGTTCCGCACCATGCGAACAAATAATGAAATTGTTTATTCTTTCGGGTGGGAGGCCAAGGTAAACACACCATNTCTTGCGCCCCCAGCAGTACCATCGACAGGGACCTAGCACGGGAGCTTCAGCTCGAAGCCAGCAACGCCCGCGCGAAAACATGTTCCCTCGTGCTGCGAGGAAAGTACGGGGTCGCGGAACGGGTAAATACTCAGGCCAGGCTAGTTACGCGATACAACCGACTCAGCCCCGCGGCTAACATCGACCCAACGATAGCGACGCCGTTTCAATTTATGCGTCTGGCGGATCCACAGTTCTATCGGGCCACCCCCACTCGACTAACACTTGGCGCTGATGTGTACGCCCAGGTCATGGTATGTGGCACTCCGCCAACAACGATCGGCGGTTTACTGGCGCAAGCTTCCATGTTCGGGCTGATTATATCAGGAGCTCACCAAATGTGACAAAACATTTAAAATTTTATATTTAGTATTCATGAATACATACCGAATTTAAATAAAAGTGCAATGAAATGATCAACCACACCCTTTTTCCTTATTAGCTTTTTTCTTCCATTTTTTCCCCTTAGCTAGTAACTGCAATGAGGACCGGAGAAGGGTCGGACTAGATCCCCGGGCAAGGACTAACCTGCGGCAGAACTTACAATGTGAAAGAACATAATTTACAATGTAAATAAATGTAAAATTAGGTGTGGTGGCTGAATCATCTTTGAGACGTTGCTTATAGCAAGGGGCCGGTATGTTTAGGCCTCCACGCTAAATCAAATTCTTAAATTAAAATATCGGGTGTACCACCCTAATGTTAATTTAACAGATGCACACACATACACATTCGTATGTGAAACAAGACAAAAAGAAAAACTGCACTTTTCCTGTCAGTGCACTTTCGTTAAATTTCCCCTGAAAACGGAACTCTTAAAGCGTTTAGAGGGTTCGACTTCAGTTTCTAATTCTTTAGACTTTCTATTGGATTTTAATCACCAGCGATCACGGACGTTCCGCCACCACACCACTTCACAAGCAAGGTAATATTGTAAGCCCCCTTGAATTTTAATATTCATATTAAATAAACCGCCAAACTTAATTGTATTTCAAACTAAAATCTGGTGCTTTTGTTTTCTTATTTTTCCAATAAAAAACACTGGTGCACTTATCGAGTTTTTTTTGTTGAAAATTTGAATTATTTAATTTTTGTACGCATGTACATACATACATATGAATTAAATATATGCATTGAAATTAGTTAAATTAAATTTGTTCGTATAATAAAGGAAAACAAATATTTAGTTCAATGTTATCATATTAGTTAGTTTTTATTTAGAACAGAGGGTTTTGGATGTACATATATTCTAAAATGGAGACAAGAGCCACAATAAAGATGAAATAATGCCCGCGGGCGTTATTGCCATATCGAAAGGGAAATAATGCCCACCGGCAAAAGGCAATAAAGCGTGCGGGCTTAATATCGTTTTCGAAAAGGCAATAACGCCCGCGGGTTTTTTTTTTTTTAAGTGCCAAGCATTCGTTTATTACAATCAAATATGATATACTGTTCATCCCCAAATAATCTAGGATATAATTTTGAAACTATTCAGGGGCTTCCCTTAAACTGCAAAACTTTGAAAAACCTAAAAGTCTTATTCATAGGTCAAGATTTGGATGAAATGAAAAAACCCGGTTTCTTCGATCAAAAATTCCGGTTTATTCGATATTCGAAAAATCCAGAAATATGTTTCCGAAAAAACGATGGAAACCGGTTTGGAAAAACCGAGTCAATTACCCTAGCACATATACACATATAAGTTCAAGACTATATTTTTGCTTTAATTGCTTAACTTTGACAACTTTTATGCAATTCGATTAGGTGAGGTATAAATTTATTAGAACATAAATGTTATTTTTGGTAAATACTACATGTTTAGCAACTTTCTTAGAAATATTTGAAATCAGCGACGGTCAAAGTTTAAAAAGTTAAGAAAAATAGGGGCTTATTTAATTTAACTAAGTCTAACAATATACTGTTTTACTCATTTTAAAGGCCTATAAATCCTCTTTTCAAAATATTTTCGGTTTTTAAATCGGATGAAAAATAGTCAATCTGTTAATAGACAAGTTCATCAAGTACGAACATAACGGTTTTTTTTTAATAATAGAAAAAATGGAGGGTTCAGGAACTATACGGAAACCATTTTCGTGTTGCACTCGATCATAGCTACAACCTACACTAGGATTTGTTTCGGGTGTATTTCATGACACTGAAGCACCGTGTTATCACTCGAATCCCCCCTGGACGCAAAAGAGGAACACTGCTATAAATCTCATAAAAAGGGTTGAGAGACCAGGAGTTCAGTAATGCAAAAAACAGAAAGATAGAAAGAACATATTACAAAAAACGGGTGCCCTAATAATATAATAAGTAAACTTATAGCAACAACAATAAGTAAAGGAAAGTCAGCAAGCATGAGCATGCATGAGAAGCTGTAAATAAACATGAACACAAAAAATTTGCTGGAGTCACATACATGTATAGATGGATTAACGGCAATAAAATATTATACAAAAACATTCGAAACGAAAATATTACCTTTGCTCACAAACCAAACTACACACTTAGCACAATTTTCAGTAAAACAAAAGACAAAATCAGCAGACAATGTTGTTTACGAAATAAAATGCAAAGGATAGCAGACTTCGAAAACACCTAAATATAACACTTAGAAAGGAGGGAGAGGGCAAGATTAACATTAAAAGGTCTACGAATACAAGAAAGAATACAGGACGCGATGACAAGAATGATATAATATAAGATTACGCCAATCGAGCTGAGAGCAACCGGGCGTGACATCTACAAATATCAGAATGAGAGAGCAAGACGAACTCAACAAGAAAAAGAAGAAGCATCGAACAAACGGCAGTATTGCCAAGTTTTGAATTTGAAAAAGCACCAAATTTTTATTGGTGTATTTAATGGACTTTAATGCAAACATAATTTTATTGTAAGGATGCCGACTCAAATTAATAAAAATCAATGTTTCTTACACGAAGGTCGATTTCTTCTGGCATGATTGAAGGTGCTGCCACATACTGTGTTCTCGCATATGATTGCCACTGTGCCATGATTTTGTTAAAATTTTTGTAGAGTTGCTTACCACACCCACGATTGTTATAAGATTTGCTTCAATTTTTTTAAGATTTGCAAATGTGGTGTTTTCAAACTAAAACCAAAGAACCAAGCACCAAACTCAAAAATTTTCCCGTTTTGAATACCCACTAAATTTGGTGCGAAAAGCTGGAAGTTGGCAACAGTGAAATTAAGCAAAGGTTTGGTGTCAAAGAAAAATAAACAGATGTATCGTGAACAATTTTATTCGTGCATTTGTGTATGTTAACGAATTGTTGTCATATTGCAATATGTTATATTTATTGTATCTAATGGGTTGCGTTTTTTTATGTTTTATTCCAAATTAATAAAAATATACTCCCTGAAGAAGGCAAAAATAACGCCAAAGTGTGTAGGAGGAAAAAAAGAAACTTGTTTTCGCTTTTTTAAATTACCGGCTGGAAGAGCTTCTAGAATAACTAAAAAATTATTTCGATAATTGGTGAGAAGTTTGTTCCCTGCATGCAGTATTGCAGTGACTAGCTCGACGTAAGCCCAAAACGAGTAATTTTAGTAATGCCTATAAGGCATTCTTATAAAATTATAAACACGTAATTCTCTGAGCTGCCAATCAAATGAATTTTTGTAACGGGCGGAATGAAATTGGGCTACGCAATAATATCTAAGACCTGTTGAGATTTCCATGCATGTGTTAAGCTCTGAAAAATCTAGCAACTACCCTGCAGGAAAGTTACTAGTTGTGAACTAAAACTCTAACAGTTTGCGTTTCAGCCCAACAAGTTCACGTTCTATCCCTTTTCAATGTTAGCGCTGGCGTTTTTAACATTGCGATGTCCTACGAGATGTCAATTGTCAGGCTATGCATCATCATCTACTAGTAGAAATACTAGTAGCATCATACCAGTTGATGAGATAGTCTGCCAATTCATCCCCCGTGAAAAGCATAAGTATACCTTTTTGCTCGCGGCGCTCCAACAGACGCAATGGCCGACAAAGCAAAGCACTCGCGTGGTATGTCTGAGGCCCCAAGTTCAAGTCCTAGCGCAGGGAAAATTTTACATACTTTTTTATTTGTTTTTTATTTTTTTTTTTTAGTTTCTATTGTAATTTTTTAATTTAATTTAAAAAAATATTTCTTTAAATTTTTTTTTTTTGAAAAGCATTTTTTCCATATGTTTATTCTGCAATGCAGTTCGATTTTCTAATTTGCTATTTATATTTAAATTGTAATAATTATTTTTTTTACATTGATTTAACTTTAAAAATCTTAAACTCCTCCAAGCGGCCTAGAACCCGCGATCTCAGAACGTTAATTTTAAGCTTTGGCAAGTCAAAGGCAGATGTCGCTGAATGCTTAAGTTCTTCGAATTTGTCGAACTGGTAGACACATACCTACTAGTTAATGAACTAGTATTTTTTCTAATTGGTTTGGCTGTTCACTGCAAGGTATGTACGTGAATCCAATATTGCATATTGCTGATTTTACACGGCTCTCTATTAAACTACTTTAGGCAATGTTTCTTTCGTAATTAGAACACCACCATCTCAATTTAACTTTGCCTGAAGCTTATAGTTTTAAATGCTACTCTAGCTAGGACGTTGATAAGAATTGTGTGAATCATTAACTAATAGTCGCGCAAATTTCTTATTTTTCATACAGCAGCCGAGCTTGCAGCCAAAAAGTCGCGTTTAAAGCAGAAGCTTGTGAAAAGCGCAAGGTCGGTTGGCATCTTCTCATTGAAACTAAAAGAACGACGACAGCGGGAAGCGGAGAAGGCAGCAAATATTGCCATCGAACACGCTAAGGTAAAATATTCTTTTAATATTCATATATGTACATACATGCTATTCCGCAATATATTCCAAAGGCTTTGGCTAAGTTACCGCCCATGCCGCAACCCGGTGGTGAGCTCTCTCTAATACCCATTGAACAACTTATACAAATTGATGACATAAAACCGGCAAGCAAAACCCAACCCACCACTTCGTCGACAGAGACGGCGTCGGCGCCAACATCCTCGTCTGTTGCTGAGACATCATCAGAAGTGATGACAGCATCATCATCCGCATTGGCTGCGGCGATGCAACAATTCCAAAGTTCGGGAAACTGTTGAGTGCACACATGTTACGTACGAAATTTGGAAACGAACTCTCTCCTACATGGATATTAAGTGCATAGACCCTTTCAGACACGTCAAGTCTTGAAAGCAATTTTTTTCGCATTCTTTTTTGTGTATTCTATTTGCTTCCAGACGCGTCAACTTTTATTGATTTCAAGTTCTTGGTTCTTTAAATGGAAAGTAACGAAAAGATCCAAATAGACAAGAAAACTTGAAACGAATTGACGGTACCGTGGTATCTGTACTCTTCCCCTCTTTTCTCACCTCCTTCGCTTGTGAACGAGCAGACTTGAAAGCAAGACTTGACGTGTCTGAAAGCTGACATACGATACAATTTTAGCATGCATACATATATACCTACATATAACTGTAAATATCTAAGGTACGAGTCTTAAAATTTTTTTTAAGTTTTCATGAGAAACACTACTGATTATTTACAAATAAATATGTATTGATGACTACATGCATACATTGTATGTATAATAATAATTAGGGCAACCAAAAATATGCCGTAAAAACATGATTTTAAGCGCTTAAAACACACACGATAAAATAAGAAATATGCATAAATATGCACGAATAATATCAAAAACATGCTTAAAATATGCATTTAAAAAAATAAATAGCTCAAATTTTCTTGTGTAAAAATCTATTGAATTTTATTCAAAATGTACAAAAACACTGGTAAATGTAAAATATTACACATTCAGGGCGTATTCACTTACATATGGGTGTTTCCTGCATTACGGACGTTCCGTTTGGATACACTTTTTTCATCATAACAACTATAGTAAGCTCTGAATGAACACAAAGTTTTTGTCATGAGTAGTCATCATCAATACCTATCTGAAATCAATAAAAATATTTTCCATAAATGTTCTATGGTAAGTGTATAGCGATTAAAAGTTCCCGTTCGGACGTTCCCAAAATGGAACTCGTATCGAAGATGACTGATGATTTTTGCTAAATTCTGCTAATCTATTAACGGTACAAAAAAATGAAAATGTTAGAATAATAAGCAGCCATAACCATTGCGTCAACTTAAACTTCCTAACGATGTTTAGTAGCTGCCGAAAACTGTTCGAAGTTATTCGGACGTTCCCGTTCGGACGTTCCGATTTTTTTCAATGATAAAATTTTTTGTATAAGGATTTAAACACACTCGTTTTTTTAATGCAAATATGGGGTTTTATTGTAAATAAATCTACATCTATATGAAGGCCTTAGTTAACGTTCGTTGAAGTCATTTCTTCGTATAAGCAGACGTACATATCGACGCCTCCAAACCATACTATGCTAAGTCTGACTAAGTCTAAGCTGACATAGCATGGTTTGGAGGCGTCGATATGTACTGTATCTATATACTGTTACTCACAAAGTTGAGTATACAGTTTGTTTTTGTTAATATTCGCAATGTTTTACATGCTAATTTTTATTTTAGTTTTGTATTAAAATATGGCTTATATTTTAGCAAACCCCATTTAAATCTAAATATTAAGCTGTGTACGAAAATTATGAAAAATCTGCAAAGCAAACTTTTTAACACGAATTTCTAAAAAAATCGGGTATGCAGTTTTATAGTCCATTCAGTTCTAGTACAATAATGTGCAAATTTCAAATACTATCAAAAAAACCGTATACTCAATTTTGTGTGTAACAAGTCCCACATAGAAGAATATGAACAAAAGTTATTTGAAGCGTTCGGACAACAACAAATTGTAAGTATATTGAAAATCGGAACGTCCGAACGCTTCAAATAACTTTTGTTCATATTGTAAGTTACAATCGATAATCCTATAGCTTTCCGAAAAAAATTTTATGCGACTGGCAAGAGTAACCAAAACTAGCTTTTGTATTAAAATTTTGACAAATAAAATAAACTTTACGACTATTTTTTTTTGTACGTAAACTATATTTTGCGTCCGAACGCTGGAAAAAAGCACGATTTGTAATTTAACTTTATATAGACCTTTCCTAGTATATGTTTACATTGTTTTTGTTGTAGGGCTTGCGGAGCATAACATACTAAATTTTTGTATAGAGTTCCAATTCTTTTTAATCGTGTACCAAAATGATTAAGGCGTTCTGGAAGGTATGATTTCTCCGAAAAAAAAATTTTAAGTGTAGTTGGAAAGACGCAAATATCTTGAAATGGATTGGACCAATTAGTCCAATATTTTGGTGGATGAAAGACAAAATATGCAGTTATCGATTGGCATCTACACATTTTGTCCAAGCAAAATTTTATTTTTTGTTGCTCTTGGTTGACACTTTCTAGGAAACACCCACATGTATGTATAGAAATAAAATTGTAAATTTAACTTAAATATTTTTTTTGCAATAAATAACAAAATTATCGACTATTTTTCAAAAAGAAATAAATTCCTGTTATTGCGGAATACATTCTTATGGTGATTTCGTTTCTTCCAAAAAATGTTGCCCTTGCTTAAAATATGCATTTAAAAAAATAAATAGCTCTAATTTTCTTGTGTAAAAATCGATTGAATTTTATTCAAAAATGTACAAAAACACTGGTAAAAGTAACACATTACACATTCAGAGCGTATTCACTTACATAAGTATGTATAGAAATAAAATTGTAAATTTAACTTAAATATTTTTTTTTTGCAATAAAGAACAAAATTATCCGCTATTTTTCAAAAAGAAATAAATTCCTGTTATCGCGGAATACATTCTTATGGTGATTTCGTTTCTTCGAAAAAATGTGGCCATTCCCCGGTGTAAAATATGTTTGATGTTACACTAACACTTGTCGTCTTGTCCTCGTCTAGCTAACGCATTTAATAAGGCCCCATGGTTCAATAATTACGGGTATTGTCTTCCCAGAGAGCGCATATTCCGATCTGCCTTATTTGGAAAATATCATTGTTGCCCACACTAAAAGGTTGACTGTAAGGGAAAAAGGATATTTCTATTCACCATGTACTATATATTAGGGATGTTCCGAATGTGGAATTTTAGACATCCGCGGATGCGAATGCGGATGTTTAAAAGCTAACATCCGCGGATGCGAGTGCGAATGAGTATGTCAAGTATATTTAAACACCGTTATTTTCCATAGAATTCTTCATTCTCATTCTTTTGGTTGTTTCAGAATTTGGAGAACCTGTAACATCATCAGCGATTTTCGATTTTAGTTTTTGTAATTCATTTTTAGTTCTTTCTTCTGTGACTGGTTTGAAAAATGTGTGCTTATAGCGAGATTGTAAATAGGTAGATATGGCAAATAAAATGTGATTTTCTGGGAATGAAAATTTCGAAGAAAATTCTGTTTGAAAGTCGTTGCTGCCAGCCGAATTAGTTCAAAATCTTGTTATTTTGTTAAAACGGAAGCCCCTTTTTTTAAATAATTTGAATTATTGGAATCACGGATGAAGGTTTCAGATCTGCTTAGTTCCCGGGTGACTTTTTGAAATGGTTCACCTGTAATGAATAGCTTCTAATTAGTTTTTTTTTTTTATTAGCTGAGATCGACTTTTCCTAATTGCAGTATATCACAATTACTTACTCACCGCTGTCAGTACCATATCAAATCCGTTTTGTTTTTTCATTCCATGTGCTCAATGTTCTTTGATATTTTGAGGCAAATGTACGCAAATTTTCAACACATCGTTAATATAGTATGGATAGGGCGCATTTCACATTGTGGCTGAAATGCAAAAAAGCCACAACTAACTAAAATCTTATTATTGCATAAAGCGATGTGGGGACTTATGATTCGATGAAATGCATCATAATCTATCAAACAGTGAATTTTGGATTTTTAGTTAGTTACGGCTTTTTGTATTTCAGCGACGAGGTGAGTTACGTCCTTTTCATACTATACTAACGATATATTGCGACCCAAGTCCCACTCCTCAATAGGTATTAAATTCGCCTTAAAATGGTTCTTATTAGATTTGTGAACTTGGCTGTCAACTTTTTCACATTCCATTTTACTTTTATTTCGCTACGCGCAAATTTTGACAAAATTAAAATAAATGTTTTTGTTTTCGAGCACACAGAGGAGTATTTGCGTAGTAAAAACAGTGTTTTTCTGCTAAGTAATAAAAGAAAACACGGAACTTAATCATAATAAGCCGTTCTATGAAAAAAAAATGATTACACTTATGTAGAAAAAAACTAGCGATGCATCCAGTTTTTTTATGTTCGATAGTTAGTTAGTTAGTAGATATTAGCTAACATTTTTATTTTGCTTGCCAGATATACGTTCCATCAGTGCACTTGCACAATATTCGCATTCGCAAAAGCTCCGCATTGATTATTGCGAATGCGAAAGCGAATGCGAATGTTGAAATTAATGCAGAAGCTCCGAGGCTGCGAATGCGAATATGTATTTGTATTTTTTTTAAACGAACCTTCTGGCAGAGAACTTAAAACCGAAACCGAACCGAAAAATAAACATTTCAAAAATTTGTATTGCCCAATTTATTTCAAACGATTTTTTTTCTTTGTTTTGAAAAATTATAAAAATTTAATTGAGCGAAAACCAAAAGCAAAGCCAATTTAAAATAAAAGAATCAACATTGAAGTGCTTCCAAATGAAAATAAGGGAGCATGAATTTCGATGTGAGACAAAACTCTCTGGGAAGACAATACCTTTAATAATTGTACCATGATAAGGCCCCTATTACGGTTTACAACTTAGCTTAGTTGAGTTGTGTCTGAGACAACTCAACTTGTTTACAAATCAACTACTTATTGCTATTGCCGTTCACAACTATTTCCAATTGACAGTGGCCATTGAAAAAGTAGGAAAAGCTATAGAAATTTTGTTATTTTCATAATATTATTTTATTTTAATGATATTAAAATAATTAAAAGCAAAAAAATTGAAATCAGTTACGAATTATTTTTTACTGATGAGCCCAAGGATGCCAGTGCTAGACAACTAACAGACAACTACGTTTTCAAAGCTGAGTTGAGTTGTGTCCCACAATACCAATTTACAACTTACAACTCAGCTATCTTAAAAGTTGTGAATCATAATAGTGGCCTAATAATGTCGTTTTAAACAACCATCTGATTTTCAAAGCAACCATCTACCCTGACAAAGCTTCACAGGGCAGAGAATGTGCCTTTTTTACAAGAGTGTGACTTTTTAAGAAGGGAACACAAAACTTTCTCGCCCTTTTCCCTTAATTTAGAATCGAACACGAAAAGAGAAAGGGACAATCAAAACGCGAAATTTTTTGATAGAAACGAAATCACCATTAAACATGGAAAAGGCATGCCCTTAAAGGCAGAAATTTCAGTCAATGTATATTTTTCAATCAGATGAATTGAATTACCGGATTCTGATTTTAGCTTATTGCTCACAGTTGAAAAATGTACAGCGTTTAATTTTTCTTCAGCTATCTTAACAATTTCTGTATATGCCGATAAAGGCAATGCTGTTGCTTCTAGTTTCAATGCTATTACTCCTAGTGGCAAAAAATGTTATTCAAATAATGAGAAAAAATCCAAATAAAAATTGTTTCGAAGTTAATTCAACATTCTAATGGTAATACTATGTCTCCATTGTGAGATTTAATGAAGATTTAGCCCTCTGACGAGATTTAAAGTTAAATCT